CCCCCCGCGGCCCAGGGCTGCGGGCCGCGCGCGGGGTTCGCCAGAGGGCTGGCTCCCGGACAACGGCCCCCAAAATCAGCCGAGGGAGGCCTCAGCACCCCTTTCTCCTCGGCGCGCGTTGGGCCCTGCCGCCCCCTCGCCCTTCGTCCGTGCGCCCCCACGAGGAGCCGGGCGAGGCGCGAGCCAGCCTTGCCAGAAGTCGGAGGCTTCGCTGGGGTGAACGCGGAGAAAACGCGGCCAAATCCCAGTTCCTGCGCTCTTGATTAATGAGGGACTCTGGCTTTGGTCGCATCTCCAAAACTGTCACTTAAACTGGTTGTCTAAGCAGGAAACGGGGAGGCTGCGGTCTCGGACGTGCTGAGTGCCACCGGCTCGCTGAGTGCCACCTTCGAGGCCGTGAAGGAGTCGCTCGGTGCCTCCCGGGCCCGGACGGGATGCATAAAATCAGGGTCTCCTCTTGCGAATGGTAGTGGTAATCTTTTTGGCTTCCTTTTCTCCCCTGCAAAATTAGAATAATCATACTTTTGTTGCAGGGGGGAAGATTAATTAGTGCTTGCACAGCGCCTTGAAAATGAAGCTGCTCCAAGTGCTAAGTCTTCAGCCCCGTCACCTGTGGTTTTATAATTTCCTCTGGACTTCCTTTTGTTTAAATGATACAGATGTAAATGTATTGGAATAATATTAAGCTAACTATTGCATAAAAATAACAGTATCTGAGAGGACGTTATTTTGCTTTTTGTTTGAAGCGTGTTCACAAAGTATAGCTCTGTCTGAGCCAAGGGTAGCAGTAGGAAATAAAAATCCCTCTACACGTGCTTCTTGTCCTTTCCTGCTTGTCTGAGTTTTAAGCCAGAATCAAATCTGCTGATAAACCAAAATGTTCATTGCCTGCAAGTTTACCAAGTTTTTTTCTGGTTTCTTGGCTCTAAAATCCACTTTCAGCCCGCTTCCCTCCCTCCACCTCGAAAGCAGTCCTCCAGCAGGCTGCAGCTCGGAGGTTAGTGTTTAGCGGCCGTGCTGATGAACTGGGCTGCAGATGTTTAAGATGTTTCTGCTCTAGGTGACCGAGCCACTCTCCCACTGGAAACTACCACCTCGGCAGCTGGTTTTGATGCCGGGTTTGTGTTTTGCTGGCCATGAGTGGGAATGAGGACGACTGGCTGGCTCTCAAGCCCCGGGAACCGTCCCCGGCTCAGTGCTGCGGCAGCGGCTGCAAGCCCTGCATCTACGATGTGTATGAGAAAGAGCTTGCACAATGGGAACGGGCCAAAGCAAAGCAGGACAAAAGCCTCCTGACGGAAAAGAAGGGACAGGTGGGTTTATCGTCACATCCTAAAGCTAGTGCTCTGATCGGACTCGCTGGCATTTGGGGTTGTGATGATCAGCGAGGGATGGGGCGGTGGATTAAAGTGGTATCTTAAGGCTTTGAGTGTAGTTCCCCGAAGCGCACTCACAGACACCCTCTCCCATGCCCGTACTCTACCTGGATTTTCCAAGCGTTGGGTTCTCCCTGGTATCCCAAACACTGGGTCTGCAGCTGTTCCTGCCAGACCACGTGCCGTGGACATATATGCCAGTCAAACAGAGCAAACCTCAGTGAAAAGTGGGAATAGGCGAGAGGCAAAGACGATCATCGTTTTCTCTGCTGCTGATTTCCTTAGAGAAGTTCCATTTCCCTGAGCTTTTTAATTTTTTCCCTGTTTTTTAGATTCGTATTCTGAGGATGAAAAAAAATATCGCATGTGATGGAGCATTCAAGTAGTTGTCTTTGCAGTGCAATTTTAAGATTGTCAGCACCCTTTTACATAAGATTAACTGTGCTGGATAAAGAAAAAAGGATTAGCAGTGAAACAGCTAATGATATTTCCTATTCAAAATGGTCATCAGTAGGTTTCACAGTTGCCCCCAAAGCAATGCTCAGCTCTTTTAGCAGTGTAATTTTTATTTGTTTCCACGCACAAGAACATGATTGCAATGAGTCATAGTACGATGACCATGCTGTAAGGTGTAAAAATGTAATTTAACAAAGGAGGGAAAAATCTGAGCTCCCAAAGTACATACTGAAGAACCTGATAATGAATCAGCGGAGAGCTGAAATTTGCGCTGGGCCCTACCTTTTAGTACATGTTCTTCTGGAGTTCTGAGTATCTCCAGCACTAAAGTAACACACACATTTGCTTCAAAAGAAAAATGAAATAATAAAAGACATCATCTAACCAAGTAATTATTTATTGTTGTTCTTGCAGAGCAATAATTCAGAACTAAATCCAGATACATTTACTGCATTCAGTGTAAGCTCAGTGGAGCAGCTAACAGAGGACACCTACCAGTACAAATTTGAATTACCGGGAAATAGCAGTCTACGATTGAGTTTAGGACAACACATCGTGTTAAGGTATTGTTCTCCGTGCTAGTTAAACAGGCTGCATTATGTAACCTAATGTGTAGGTTTTTGCCAATAGACAAAGGATTCATGCCAAGGAAATCATGATTTCTATATCTCTGCAGTGATACAGATGAAAGAACTTGTGAGCTCGTTAGCTTTACTAATTTTATGGTAAAAGCCATTCCAAAGCTATATTTTTCTTTAGTATTATCCTTGTGTTGGAAGGTCAGAAAGAACTAGGTGTGATTAAGAAAATCCATTTGCGGAGAGAGAGAGTCAAAGAATAGATGTTTAAAAGAGATGATTGACTCCATCGTACTGGGGTGAAGACAACGAACTGCGCTCAGACCAGAGCTCAGTATTTGGATCTTATATCTTGGGGTAACTGCACCCGCGGTGTCACATCAGATGTCCAGGCATTTTGTGACGATTTCTAGCAAAACAACTCTCTTGTGTAGCGTATTGCTTGCCAAAAAGGTGCCATGTGGGAGAAGTTTATGTCTCTCAGCCATCTGTGGTAATCACTATCAGATAGAAGAAGTCCTGTTACGATGCCACTGATCTGTATCTGTCGAGGTTTGTACGTTAACAGCTGATGTATACAGCAGGCCGGCTGTTGAAAGTACTCGCTCCTCTGTCCAGCTGTTTCTCATAACACAGCAGAGGAAAAGGTTGGGTCACTTCAATCAATTACCATCGTCAGTAGTAACGAGTGGGATGGATATCTTCTGTGGAAAGAGAAGACTTACAGTAAAAGACAGTGTGTATTGACACAATTTCAGTTCAAGGCTGTGCCCTAACTTTCGTTATTAAATTACCAGATGCTGTTCCAAACAGAGAAAGAAAGGCAGTCCCCAGCCCAGAAGGCATAGCAAACTTACCAATAGAGCGTTTTCTTTTTCCTTTGCGCATTCAGCTGCTCCTTACAAAGCAGCTCAAATGTCCTTCCACTGATGCGTCCGAGAGTGGAAAGCATGGCACAGCCAGGGCCACCACCAGGAGAACAGAAGGTGCATTTACTGGTTATGTTCCCCCTAGATTTTTACCGCACACAGGGAAATGTTTTGCATCTGCGCACAGCCTGTGCCACTGGGGAGACTATCTGCTGCCTCCCGCAGCCACTAGACGTGGCTGATCTCCCCGGAGAAGAGCAGAAGTGTTGGTAATATCTCGCTCAGTGACACACGTTACAGAGGCTGCCTGTTTTTTTCTCCTCAGAGGAGTGGTGAATGGTTTGGAAGTCCAGAGAGCCTATACTCCAATTAGCCCAGGGAATGCAGAAGGTTACTTTGAAGTTTTAATAAAAGTAAGTAAGCCTATACAATATAGATTAGAGTGTAAGGTGCTGGGGACTGTGTTTTCTTTTATGAACTGAGCCCGCTCTCAGCACATCAAGTGAGACTCCGTCAAATCCCTCATGGACTGTTTCTGTGGATGTCTGAAGCAGTTGTGCTTTGCTGATAAAAATTGCATTTTTTTCCCCCCACAAAACTGAGAGTAGAGGAAGGTGACACACAAACAAGTGCTTTGCAGCATGAGCCCCGTTAAGCGCTTGAGCGAGCCTCTCGGGAGCCTTGCTGTTGCCGCTGCGGAAAGAGGTGCCCATTCCCCTTCCCTGGTTTCGTTTTACCTCCTCAGTCTGTCATTGAAATCACACCCAGTTGTCAGTCCAGGTGAGCCACTGATTTGGGGGAATCTTTGCCCAGCCCTTACCCTCCCTACTTGGCTTAAAGCAAAAGAGACTCCTCAGAGCGAAGGGCGCTCCTCATGAAAAGTTTTGATTTGTGGCAAAAAATATGGACGGACAATAGGCAGCTACTTCTGGTTCGCAAGCGGGAGCTGCCTGCAGTCAGGGTGGCCCACGGAGCCAAGACGTAGCCCTCGGGCACAGACGGGGCAGATGGGGTGGCAGAGCCCTGTGCTGGGCAAGTGTCCTGGCCCTGCTGGACACAACCCAGTAGGTGAACTTGGCTGGAAATTTTGTCTGAATATAGCCTGCAGGACACTTATAAATAATTGTTTTGCGTAGAGAATATCAAATTCAAGAAGATTTTTCTGATGTTGTATTTGTATGTCTTTGCTGAATCCTTGGGGGCGAACACGTGCTTCGTGACAGGTGTGAAATTCGGAGTGCTGGGTGTCCCAGGCGGCTTGCAGAGACTGCTTGTCCCCTGCCTGTTTTCCAGGATTTCACATTTTGGGGGTTTATTATGCATTACATGATCGGATACAAGCCCTGTTCTTTAGAAATGTGTACAGCTCCTATAAATCACCTGTGGGAGGGTCATTTCACCATTCTTGTGGCAATTGGTGTGTGGTAGGGGAGAGAAATGCTGCATTTGAGTTGCATTAATAGGATACATTCACAGGATGGCTGTGAAATTTCATGTATACTTGCTTATTACTCACAGGTTTTGCATTTCAGTAATAATAGTAATGATTGTAATGATACCTTTCCTTTCTACAGAACCTTTCATCCCAAAGGGAGCTGTAGTTATTCTCTGGTAGTGACAAAAGAGGTTGGTAACACCCAGTGTAAAGCAGCCATTTTTGTAACTCACTCTGTAGGTTGTGGTATATTTCGTACTATTCAGGCAATTTTGGAGAGTACTATATTATTATTATTACTATGCAATCCAAGCACTGTTCAGACCCTTCTGTCTCCTGTTATTATAGCATTGCATTTGTGATACTACAGTTAAGAGTGAGGGAGTTGCCATTTACGGAGCAAAACCCTCTTTTTGAATGATTTTATAATGTTAGGGTTTTTCTCCGTGTAAAACTGGGTGTAGAAATTTTCCCCCAGGGGATAATTATTTTTTCTTTTTATTTAGAAAAAAATCATTTTAAATCCACTCCATCACTTCTCACTTCAGTTTTTGGAAATAATTTTGGTGAAAGAAAGATTATTTTCATTTCCGTTACCCTGGTCCACTGGGAATAGGCAATAAATGGGGCTGACTTTTCTGTTCTTGTCTTGGGTTTCCATATATAGTTGAAAAAGGTAGGTATAAAATACTGCTGCTCTGATGTAGCCGCACGCTTTTTGCATGGGACTGAGTACCTGCCCGAAGCCCTCTGAATGCAAAATATTGCTGGCAGTAACTCAGAGGCTGGCTGCGTCTCTGTTAGGTATTTACTTTTTGAATACGACTACTGATGCTAGTTGTTCTTGACACTTAAGATATCTTATTTAAGTGAGGTTTTTACAAGGTGAGGAGCACCTATGCTTTTATTAGCTAGCACTGCTTGCAAGCACAAACACACTCTCACTCGCGCTTTCTCCTTGCCTTGCTGCGATTTACCGGTTTCCTTTGCCCACAGTGCTTTTTAGTGGCCAGCCAAGGCACTGGGGTTATCCAACGTGTGTGCAGAAAATACCCTCCTCTTTCAGATTTTACAGGCTGGAGTCTTCGAAGGCTTATATCGCATCCCATCTTTGCCCTTCCAGTTGGGTTGCTCTTTCTCAGGCTTATCAGCGGCGTCGCTTCTGCGGGAGACCAGTCTCCTGCGCGGCTGTTTTGCCTGTTGGCTTGTTGTGAGGGTTGGACCAGCCGTTGTTCTCTCGCCACGTCCCGCAGATTGCGGCTCTTCTTTTGCGCACGTTCACTCTCACCAACCATAGGCGGTCCTAACAATTATATATAGCAAGGCTGCTGGGATGGTCCCTTCGTTTTCTGGCCTGTCCTTGCTCCTCTGTTTCTGGCAAGTACTCGCCCTTTCTCGTCAGTCACAAGCGAGATTAGCACTCCTGCGGACAAGAGCCTGGATAATATTTTTTGTGCCTAGCAGAAAGTAAGGCAGTTTTTTGCTGATATCTTTCTTCCATGAGGCCCAGAATAACTTTTTGTTTCTCTTTCTTTCTTTCTTGCTTTCTTGGGAGGGGAGGGGCAGGAATTTGGAGGAATCCCTCAGCATACAGCTGCTCTGTTCCAAAAACAGAGTATTATAAATGAGAAACCTGACTTTGGGTCAGTAATTGTATCAACACAGCATCTGAGAGACTGGAATAAAGCAAAAACTATGCAGTGTTTATATAACTATCAGTACCCAGAAGGCATTTGCAGACCCCATACTCTGAGATTTGGAGAACACTTGAAGGCTTGGAGGGTGCTTTGCATTCAAGACACTCTTCTCTGCGTGCTTTGTAAGCAAGAGCTCTGCTATGCTTTTTCCAATTTTGGAAAATTCAGACTGCATGAGAGTGGATTGTGTTTACATTATAGTCAAGCTGGAATGGATCCAATGTGATTTAATTTAAATGTCTTTGTTTGGGGTATAACTTTGAATTATTTTTCAAATAGAATGATCTTTCTTTTTAAACGCATGAAATGTTTTTTGCCCCCTTCTTGTTTAAATGTAGATAACTTTATAATTGACTTTAAGCTGGGAAACTTTCCAACAGAGTATAATTATTCTTTTCTTTTGTGCAATGTTTTTTATTAGTGCTATGAAGCTGGGCTAATGTCGCAATACATAAAAACCTGGAAAAAAGGAGACGTGGTCTTTTGGCGTGGGCCGTTTGGAGGGTTCCCATATCGACCTAATAAGGTTAGTTCCCTAAGAAACATAGGATCTTTCAGCTTGTGGCGGCTAGCTTATTCCAAAGGGAAGACATCCATTTGATTACTGTTTTCATGATTATTTTAGGAACTTCCCAGGTTACTGTACAGTACTACAGCAGTCAGTCGGAGAAAGTACATCTTGCTGGACTGCAGGATATTTAAGAACTAAGAGGAGAGGGACATGGGCAGGAGGGACTGGAAGATACTAGCAAGGCTCTTTGGGCGTCACTTGCATTAGAAGTTCTTGCTGTGTTAAACTACAGGAGCTTGTTTTGCACCAGCAACGCGTGCGGATTGGGTTTTGCCTAGTTTGGATCATGCTGCTATTTTGTGACTGAGCGCGAGCGAAGAAGTGGTGTTGATCTTTTTCTCTCCTGGGTACTCCCTGACTGTAGCAGCTCCAGTGAGGTGTCACGTCGCCCAGGCGCTCTGCAAACGTTGGTCCCACCTACTGATTCAAGGCCTTCTGCAAAGAAAGGCAGATCGAGTTTCAAGGGGAAGGTTTCTCACACGCACTAGTTTGCTTACTTAATTCTGACCTTTCAAATGAGAAGCAGAATTGAAACACTCATCATTTAAGATCCCAACGCCCTTTTTTCCTCCTCCTTTTTTCTTTTCCTTTCTTTTTTTCTTTAATTAAAAATAGGGCTGTAAAATCCCAGCGGCCAAACTCCGTACAAAACAATTGTGTTCTGATTCCTGAAATACTCTCCCTGCTGTTTTTGGCTATTGTTCACTTCTGTTCTTTAAGCTTTGAGATACCATTTGGGACAGAATGACTGCCATGCCCAGAAGTACCTGCACTCAGGGGCTGGCTGGGTGATCCTTGTACATACAGTCTGCAAATCACCTGAGCAGTCTTTAAAACAATTTACTGTAAAATAACTGTTTATTGTTTATAAATTGTAACAAAGGTCCTGAATGTGAGTTTTACAGTAAAATTTCCTTTTACCTCCATTTGTTGCCAAATAGAACAGGGTTCAGATTCGGGCAGACCAGATCCGTTCACAATAAACTGCTCAGTCAAAAGACAGCACGAGCAGCCGCTGAACGCCAACCCCCTTCCCACCACCAGCCGCCTCTGACAGGCTACTGATCTTCAGGGTAGGTAGGGTGGAAACTGCAGAGCCTACTTCGTAGCGAGGTGGCCGCACTTAGGGCTTGACTGTGTGAGATTTTACAGACTGCTAGTTCCCACTAACTCTGAATAATTTAATGTTTGTGTAGTATAAAGGAAATCATTTCAAGTTCAGGTGGATATGTACGTAAAAGAGGTGCTCTCGCTTTCAGTGAAGGTAGTAGGAGATGGACTAGGCCACGTACGTAGCAAACCCATTTGGATGCTTTTCTGTTGCATGTAGTCGCATCCCACTTCTGGAAGTCGTTTGGCCTCCAGCATCCCAGCAGATTGTATCTGACTGCATAGGGTTGGGGCTACCAAATCCCCGGTGATGATGAATAGGCGAAATATGGTTTAGGCAGGGAGGCCCCGGGATAGGGGCTTAATTCCCAGTTCTGGCCCTGGTACGCTGGCTGAGCTGGAGAAAGTGCTGGGAACTTTCTCTCCTCCTGAGCACAGCACCTGCCGGCCCGAACGTCCTTGTCCTGTGCCTCCGTTGGTGCAGGTAAACGAGCAGAGTGAGCATCCCCACTGCAGGTATGAAGTGCTAGGTATTCCTGGTAGTCCTTTGAGAAAAGTCAGATGATGCACCAGAAAGATAAACTGATCAGGTTGGGAAAGAAGCCATTCCCTCAGGGAACATTCAGGATTATACTTTACAGTATCCAAGATTAACCCAGGGATCATGTCCAGTGGGAAAACAACCCACAATGGGTCAGCAAAGGGTACTACTGAATTGCAACTGAAACATGGATGAGTTGAAATCAAGGCAGAAATTTGGAGAAATGTTTAGATTTGGATAAAATCCATTTTCATTAGATTTGCTATATAAATCCTGAAAGTGCTATCTTTAACTATGGATGGGCTTTGCAGAAGGATACACGTTGAGATCTGAATTTACTGGTTCATATCCTTTGGATAGCTGATATAGGGGCTCACAAGAGACCCCATACCAGTGTGGCCTCAGGGAGGAACTGACAATGAGGGCATTCGTTTACAAACACGATGGTTCTTTCAAAATTCTCTGCTTCATTTTTAGTATGGAGAGCTGCTCATGCTGGCTGCTGGTACCGGCCTCGCACCAATGCTTCCCATCCTCCAGTCCATAACGGAAAATGAAGAGGATGAAACCTTTGTAACTCTTGTTGGTTGCTTCCGTTCATTTGGAAACATTTACTTGAAACCTCTTCTCCAAGATCTGACTCGATACTGGAACATCAGAATGTTTTACATCCTAAGCCAGGTAAATAAACAGATAGGAAATAAGTTTATGCAGGGGTTCTATGTGCCTGAACCTCTGTTGCCTCTGCATTTACGTCAGCATGATCGTAATTCTTTCCCGGTCAAGAAGGCTATTTTGTGATCCAGTTCCTCCAGTTCTTAAATCTACATATTCTCACTCTGCTGCCAATCTGGAGAATTTCAGGGAAGTGACCATCATTGCTTGCCCCCTTTTATCTGCCTTGGTCGCTGTTCTGTTGGGAAGGACCCACTGATTCATCTTCACCGCTGATCGTTCCCCCCAGTTCAGGTGACTGTTGCTGCACCTAAACGTTTATGCAAAGAAATCTTGACTCTGAGAGACTCACAGCAAACAAACTGCTTCTTCTTTCTTAATGCCAGGGCCTTAATCTGTCTTCATCTTTCATTCACTGCTCATGGCTACAGCTCTCTGCTTCTAGAACGTTAGCACCAACTTCCTAGCAATTATTTTTCCCAGCTGACCCATTTTCAAACTTCTTGAAGTTGCGTCCTCCTCAGTAAAATTGTTTTCTATGCCAAATCCATGGGATGAGGGTATACCTCTCAGTGGCCTTATATTTTGAGCAGTCTTCTTCCTTTTCATTTGGTCCCAAAGTTGCCTGTGTTCTGCACAGATTTGGTAGTTGAAAATTATTTCCTTCAGAAATGAGTATTCATTGCAGAGAGGTTATAGAAAGAATTATTTATGCTGAGGGAATGAATCTCATTGCATTTTTAGTTTCTCAGATGAATCATTTTTTGTATCTCTTGTGGTGGTTCTGCCTCATACATTACGTTCCACATAAGGCCTTGGCAAGTTGAGGAGACTGGGTATAGAGAAGAGTACTTGTGAATTGGGCACCCCCTCGGCTGATCTATAGGAGCGCAATCATTAATTGTCTCTGGTGAAATAGTGTAGCTACCCTTTTGAGGACAGTGGGTCTCAATGAGAAGGTCCTGAACTTCCACTCAGTGAAGGGCTAGAAGCCCATCTCACCCCGTCCATACCGTCTGCCCCACATGTATTTCTCTCCCTTTCCTTCCCGTTTCTTCTCTTAACAGGTTTGCTGTCGTCCAACACTGAGTCGCAAACCTTCCCTTTTAGGATAACATACCTGTCTGTCTGTCTCAGTATTTCGTTCTGCTGCCTGTCACCATCACATCTCACCACTTTCTGCTTCTCATTAATAGCAACGGGAGTCCCCACTGGATCAAACAGCATGGAAATCTAACATTTCTCCTGTCACGGGATCAGAACTGTGTTTGGAGCAGGGTTGGCTTCTTTCAGTTCTTTTGGTTGAGGGAGATGGGGCTGGAAGAGACTTGGGAATGGAGGAGGCAAGAGAGAAGAACAGACTTGGGACTTAGGACTTGGGGATAGAAGAGGAATGGTGGGAAGTGATTCTCAAAGGAGAAAGTTTTGCAGTGCTTCTTAGCAGTAGTTACACTCTTTTTGTTCAGTCCCCTGTGAGTGAGTGGCCAGATCCCTTGGTAGAGAAGGGTTTGATCTGGGCTTTGCAGTAAGGACACAGTTCTCGGGATGGGCCTATCCAGAAGGCGTCATGGGGGTGAAAAACCTCCTCTGCAGTACTGTGAGGGGACGTTAGAGATGTGGCTGTAAGTAACCAGTTGTCCTTTCTCCTGTGGCACACTGCAAAGCTTTTGACTTTTCAGGAAAGTTCACTGGAAAAACTTCCTTGGAGCTATCAGGAAAACACGTACATTGGTCGTCTAAATGAAGACTTGATGAAGACAATAATAAATTCCTGTCGAAGAAAGCCATTTGTATTACTGTGTGGCTCCTCTGCATTCAATGAAGATATGAGTAGATATTTGAAAGCGGCAGGACTGGAAGAAAATTCCTGTTTTGTCTTTTAGCAGGATATTTCTCACGCAATATTAGGCCGAGCCTTGGATATCCTTGTTTCCCTGCAGACACTGTTTCAAATCAACCATCTCCATAGCTGGAGTTTCTTAGGCCTTTGGATCAAATATTTGTCTCTGGTATCATTCCCACTCTTGTGAGCGTGTTAAAGAGCAGATGACGTTCCAGATTGGCTGCTACAATCACCCGTGCCTCAGGGAACAGCTTGGTAATTTTAATGAAAGTCTTCACTTGCAATTTCAAGAGAGGTACCTCTTAAGAGTACTAAAAAGCACCCCAGTAAACACCTTTGCTCTAATATGAAGATCAGTGGCTTGCGTTGAATTCTGTGTTAATCTGCAGTGCATTATTGTGCCCTATTAGACGTTCATTCTCCACGGGGAGAAGACATTGTGGCCAAGCAACAGCAAAGCACTGGCCTGGTACTCTGGCGTCCGTGGGGTTCATGTCGGCTGAGCCGTTACCTTACTGGATGGGGTCAGGCAAGTCGCTTCAGTCGCTCTGTGCCTCGGTTTCCCCTAATGCACTGTTATACAGAGGTGCAGGTACTGATCTCTGAAAAGAGCCTTTGCAACCACTTATGGACAATGCTGTGCACGTGCACGTGTGCCCCAGCATCGCCTGCCCTGGTCCCTCGCCCTTTGTACCGCTGCCTGGGGCGCTAGGAGCATCTCCTGACCATCTGTGGGAGAGAGCGTCAGCGTGGGAGCTGCTTTCTGTCGGGGAGGATGGGTGCTTGCTTTCCACATCCCTGAAGTGTTGTATAGTAGCCCTGGTTCATTAAAACGAAGCTCTCTTCAAATAAACAGCTGTTTCTTTCTGCCACAGGACTTTTGCGGAGGAGGCGGGCTGCCAAGGTGGGTGGGTGCAGAGCCTGCAAGAGGAGCACCTGCGGGGCAGGAGCTCCGCCAGGCTTTCCCGGGACGATGCCCCGCGAGGCACGGCAGAGCCGCAGGACTGCAGCCCTGGCACAGCACCGCCAAGGGGGGCAGGCCCCTTCCCCCTCTTTCCGTCGGAGATGCTGGAAGCGCCCAGGGTTTGCAGGGTGATGACAAACGATGATGCTCCCCTCGAGCGTTATCATCCCTGTCTCGTTTTTACCTGTATCGAATAGTACACCTTGCACACAGGGGACGTCATCTGAGAGTTATTCAGAATAAGCAGCATGCGCTAAAATGACGGCTCCGATTCGCGTGCTGGGAGGCAGTGAAGGTGCCTGAATGAGAGTCCCGCAGGTCCTGGCTGGTCCCGTTACATCTGCTGTCTCGGCTCTGTCTTTGCTCCCAACAGCGACGCTGCCAATGAGCTTGTATCAATGAGGAGGTGACCTTCCTGACCAAGTTTCTGGCTTCTTCGCTCACTGTCATAGCGAGGCTGGCATTTTTGCTGGCTCATATGTAATACACGCAAGCCTGGTCAGCAAATCCTCTGTTTTCAGCGCTGCTACTGTGGCGCAGGAGCATTTCTCTCTCGGTTTTGCAGGTGAGAGTGGGGTCTGTAACAAAGAGCTCAGTGCGAATTACTGAATGTGTGCGCGTTCGCACGCTGCTCAGCAGCGCGGCACAGGAGGAGAGCCTGGAGGCACCCGGGCCCTGCGCGCCGTCGCAGAGCAGGACGTGGTCTGAAACGGCACAGGCTGCCCTCGTCTCCGTGAGATTTGTCTCCCCTTCCCAAGTGACTGGAATTAATCCACTGCGGAGGCAGCTTTTATTGTAACGTCATCGAGCGGCGGCTTACGAGAAAGCCCTTCTCCTAGCACAACGTGCCGTTCTGGCGTTTTAACGCAGAAAGATCCAGGAACGTCGCCCACGTTAGATCCAAGGCTAACTCTCAGCTCTGATCCGAGCCCTGTTTCGGCCCCCGCAGCCTCGCGGGGTGGAAGAGCTGCCTAGCCTGGGGCTGAGAAAAGGAGGAGCTGCTTTCCTTGGTAGCTCTCCCTACTTTGGCCCTAGCTAGGAGAAAAAATTTTCCTGGGAAATTACGTACCCTGGAAACCTTGCTTGGACACCTCTTGCTTTCAAAAATCTGCCCATCTGAGATTGGGCTAAGACTCCCCGAAGCCTTTTTGCAAAGGCCTGAGGTAAAACTTGCTGCTCGCTTTGGAAAAGCGAAGAACCTCGGAGCGAACGCGGGGCCCTGCTCCTTTAAACGCAACCCCAATATGTCTGGGTGTTTCGGCACATATGGGCCCGGCCGGTTCAACCCTCCCCAGCTGGCGCGGCCGTTGTGCTGCGCAGCCT